TACACTAACTGGTTATAATAATACTCTTCCTACTATTCATACTTCCCAACCTAAACAAATTGTGTAGACATATGTTGAAGGTTGATGAGGTAGGCGTGTTTTGTGTTCTCATCAGGGTCTTATGGGAAGCCTTCTTTTTCCTTCTCTTATATAACGGTCTATAATATTTATTATGCCTATTGGAAAACTGCCTTGTAGTCTCGCTGTGTTAGCTCCGGTACTTGTTTTAGCTCCGGTCATTGGTTAGGCTTGTAATGCGGTGGTCGTTCATGGAGCTAAAGACGCCTTACTTTTCCGGAACACACGGTCTTATAATAAATTGTACTGTGTGAATGTTTAAACAATTTTGTTCAAATTTAACCCTAGTTTTTCTATCTTTTTTTAAAATTTAATGTCTTTTTATTTGAGCTCAAATAACTATTTCTATTTTTTTATCAAGCATCAGTGTTGTCTGTGACTGTATCTCTTGAATGAAGAACTCTGATCTGGTAGAACTCCTTTCCTATTTATAGTATTGATCATTAGCATGCATATTTTAAAACGTAATATTCGGCCAACACATTGCCTAATTGTATTGTGTTCTGTTTTAACATCATACCCCATGGTGCCGTGTTGTTGTCTGTGACTGTATCTCTTGAATGAAGAACTCTGATCTGGTAGAACTCCTTTCCTATGTTTAGTATTCATCATTAGCATACATACCTTAAAACGTAATATTCGGCCAACACTTTGCCTAATGTTATTGTGTTCTGTTTTAACATTGTGCTCCATGGTGCCGTGTTCATTGTGGACATAATAACCAGAAAACACAGAAAGCCTTGATCACACACAGTAGTTATAAACACGATGTCCTGTTCTTTTCAAAATGCCTTCATAAATGTGCCATATTCAATTATTGGGTAAGCATACTAACGTTTGTCATGTGATGTTTTTACGGTGACGTTTGATTATTTTTAATGAGGCACCTGCCAGTCCGCTTCGCAAGTACGATGTCGTCTTGGATTGAAGCATTCATTATGTCTGCTGACACTGTAAATTGGGATAAATAAAGCATACATTTAGGAAAGATAAACTTAAATTTTTATATTGATTTTGTTCTTATTTAGCATTTTGACGTTTTAAAAAGCATATCGTTATTTGTTTTTTCTTATATTTTCAACAACAGGGATATATTGGTAAAACCAGTACACATTTCATTATACTTTTTATGTTACTGGCTGAGATTCGTGTCAGTAAAATCTTTATGTAATAGAAAATCGTCTTTCCTCGTCATTAACACAATACATTTTATCTCTGTATAAACTAAAAACCACGATGTGGTGGGACAAGAACCCTTAAATGTCGCTTATCATTGTAAAAGGTAAAAATTGTAAAAACATGTTTTAAAACGGTACACATTGTCATTCAAACTAATAACTGATCGCCAGAGGCTAGCTAAAATGAAAAACTCTTAGACTCGTTTCATAAATCTTATATGACATGGAAACGAGGGTAAGATCCTTCTTATCATATAACTGAAATGCTGTCGTTTCATTAATTAAAACAAACAATTGCATCGCCAGAGGCTCGCTAAAATGAAAGATTCTTAGTCTTGTTTCATAAATCTCATATGACATGGAAACTCATGTAAGATCTTATAGATTTATAATCGGAAATCGTCTTCCCTCCTCTGTTATTCAATTTTGATAAGAATACTTTGAAATTGTAACAATGGTTTCAGTTTTCCAAATATCTGATGCTTAGAGTAAAACGTTGTAGTTCTCAGACACCCTGTGTTGTACCGTATAAATAGGTTATAACCCTAGACATGATAAAGATGACACGCTTCAATAAGATAGGCCCTAACGGTGACACAATAAAGACAGGAACGCACGCGGCCGGTTGCACGAGTCATATACCTAGTCTACGTCGTAGATATATATATATGTGTGTGTGTGTTTAAAGGCATATACTCAGTCGTCATAGATGTATAAAACAGTACCAATAATCTATCACGCCTGACCTAGATCGTGCCACACATTCTATCATATTGACTGTGGCCTAGGTAACGTAGGATACGCTTTATGTCTCAATCTAAACATTTACCGTTGCCTGGCAACACAATTGCAAGTGTTTTTAAAAGTTATATGCGGAAAACTGAAGAGTCAGCAAAACTGCCATTCGAAGATGATATCATTTGACACAAAAAGTTGGTCGACTGTATTGCTGGATTATCAGTGTATTAGGGAGATACACTATATTTATTGTTTATATGTCTGTCAAAATAACTTTTCCATACCGGAAATGTTTGGATATGGCTTACATAGGCTTTGCCTGATGCCAAATCCATTTGCCTCTTTCGTAATAAAGTTTGTTGAAATAAAAAAAAACAAGTTATCAGTCACTAACATCCGCCGTTACATTGCAGATTGAATTCATAATGACACTTGAACTTGACCAATGAATGGCCAACCGTTTTGATTTGTCACATAATAAGGTTCTCTAGGCACATTTGGGTTGTCGGGTGGCGCAGTTGATAGAACACTTGCGTCCCCGATTGGACGTGGAAAGGTATGGGGTGACCTTCCCGGCCACGTAGGTTTTCTCCAGGTACACCGGTGTCCTCACACATTAAGGTCCCCCGCGCGTTAACATCCGGGCCAACAAGAGTGACTAACATAAAATGTGAAAACGTGATCCGTAGTGTTTGTAAAAATAAATAAAGTTGCAGTTCTATAGGCACATCCCCCTTTGTGCGTTTCAAATGGTTTTCGGAACACGTTTTGTTTTAGGTTTCATTATTTTGTTCTGTGTATACCCATGAGGAATCAAAATGGACGAAATATTTTTAAGTAAAATATATAACTTATTTTGCATATACATCAAGAAACGAATTTGTACATATGTGTTACCTTACTCTTGTCACTTCTAATGTTTTATATAATTAGCATACAATAGAAAAAGTGATCAGTGGAATTCATAAAATGACTAGAACAATTTACACGAATACTAGTATAATAAACAAAAAAACTTGGCACAGATAAGAAATATTGAAATTCTCTGACACTGCCACGCAAAACCCTAAATTATTATAAAATGCTAATTTTTTATTAATAAAAAAGAACATTATGACAATAAAGTGATTACAAAAATGATTTTTAAATTCAACATAAAGCGTTAGCGGACTTTATGGAATATATCATGTTTCAAATGGCATTCATACTGCCTGTGCATGTCAGATGAAAACAATTCAATACTTCTTTTATTTGATCTCATCATATATTCAATAAAAATACTTTTTTTGTACAATTTCTGTATACACGTATCATATACATGCTAGTACAGAATATTCTGGTCCAAACTTCGTCACGCTTTCGGGAGTCAGCGCGTACCTGTCTATGCCGATAACAGATCGCCATATATCTCACAATACACAGGTTTTACATGACCGGCAATAAACTGACAATTACTGGTTCTGACCATTATCGATAGGGGCGCTAACGGGATATTTTCTGTTAACGTGTAGGACAAAAATCTTCTTTAATGTTTGTCTCTCAATTTGTCTAACTTTTGTACATTTTAGACGTTTGTGTCTCAATTTGTCTAACTTTTGTACATTTTAGACGTTTGTGGCTCAATTTGTCTAACTTTTGTACATTTTAGACGTTTGTTTCTCAATTTGTCTAACTTTTGTACATTTTAGACGTTTGTTTCTCAATTTGTCTAACTTTTGTACATTTTAGACGTTTGTGTCTCAGTTTGTCTAACTTTTGTAAATTTTAGACGTTTGTGTCTCAATTTGTCTAACTTTTGTACATTTTAGACGTTTGTGTCTCAATTTGTCTAACTTTTGTAAATTTAAAATGTTTGTGTCTCAATTTGTCTAACTTTTGTACATTTTAGATGTTTGTGTCTCAATTTGTCTAACTGTTGTACATTGAAAATGTTTCTGTCTAAATTTGTCTTACTGTTGTTGCACATTTTAAAAACTGCTCCATAACGATTTGTTTGTTAGATTTCGGGTAAATAATCTGATTTTCGTATCAGTCGTTTGTCGATAATTATATCATTAAGTAGTTCACATTAAACTCCTAGCTTGCATATATTTGCATTAACAGTTTGACATCCTGAAGATTCCATTGATTTGACAGACGATGGAAAAGAAATTCTGGCTAATATTTGCAAACATTTGTAATAAATGTGACTATAATACTCGAATGCGCGTCCACTTATTACCTTAGATTTATAAAATTCGTCCGTCCGTCTGTGTTATTGTGTCTTTTAGACACTTTTCATAAATATTATATATATACTCACCATAGATCGTTTGTATCTACACACATAGGTAAGAATGGTTTAATAAATATAGTTGATTTTGTGTCTGTGTTTTTGTTCTGTTTTCGTGTTGACTCTTTAATGTTGAATATTGTTTAGGGTTGAACGTCTCGCAACAGTCAAACTACATACGAAAACGGGTGAGAAAAGAGGAGATAAATCACAATCGTTTAATTGGAGCAGCGGATAAATTAAAGTTTCTTAAAAAAAGTCTCCTTAATAACAGACACAGAAGAAACGTCCCAGCATGCACATGTTTGATATGTTGCTTTTTTATTACGTTTCGCACGTTTCTTCAATGTCACTTTATAAACCAAGTCAACTGCATGTCATTTTCCTATAAATGCAGCTTGGATTCATATTGCCTATGAACTTCTTTATAAAGCAGTTGCTGAATGTGTCGCGTTTATTTCATCCCAATGGGTTATAGATTAGTAGGGCCTCGCGGGTGATAATAAAGCTTATTTCAAACCCTATATGGAGCCCCAGAGGAAGTGCTGTCGTTATAATAATCATGCATGTCTTCGTCAAAGTTCTGCAGTCGGTATACGAGCTATCGTCCGATTATGCCAATCACACAAGGTGTGTACAAAAACAATACCGTACAATAACGCGCAAGTCCCGCCTCGTCAAGCGCTCTCGTCAGGTTTTACGAGATTTGTTTGCGACCAATGTGATACATACAGCGACACTTCCACGCCGAGTCGTCACTAAGTACAGACCCCTCTCTGGATAGCGGAATTCTGGATTTTCGAAGAATTATAAGACTTTCTTTATGCAGCTGGGAAATACGTCTTCAACATGCGAGCTTTACTTTTACTGCTTTTGACTGTGTTTATTGCGTATTGTGAGTCTACTCGAATTCGACCGGTGTCGAAACATTACAAAGTAGGACTTCTGCGGAGGTTCGCTCCTTTTCGAATCCGTCCGGCTTTAAGAAGGCGTTACTATGGATACGGGATGCAAAAGATGCCTTATTACTCAGGTTACGGAGGTGTTCGACAATATGGAGGATATCGCCCCAGCATGTCCTACGTACGTATATAACACAAGCAATATGTTTCCCCCAATTAATCGAATTTTACGATGGTGTCAAGCTGTGTCACATTAACGAAGTAACGGCCACATTGCTTAATATAATTTCTATGTTGACAAAATAAACATGTTACGACTTTAACTATGCAAATAAACACCCTAGATTGAACACTCGCTGTCCAAATATATGAAATTAGTAGTTCCGATACAATGAAATCTTACAATAAAACCCTATGAATGGCAAATTAATGGTCGCCATTGTGACTATAATATTTTTGTTTGCGATATGAAGGTTTCTACAGGATACACGATACAAGGAACGTTATTTAAAGTCGCATACCTGTAAACGAAGAACATTAGCTCCCTCGAGCTAATGTTGCGACAAACATATGTACAATAACAATAACACATTATATTACAAGTAAAGGGAGATACATGTGATCACATATATTAGTAAAAGGCAGTACTACTGATCACATTAAAGGTTGTATCATATCCCAAGTTTCTAAGTGATTGGCAGCCTCCTTCTTACAAACCTCCTAGGATATGACACTTTTGATACTATATGAAAAAAATGTGATCACAGATAAGTAGCATTCAGATTAATTTGATAAAAGACATACTGTAGTAATAGTGAATTACTAAGGACTTACGATTAAAACACCATCAAGTGGAATAGACATACGATGCTAATATAGCAAAGAATAAAAACTTAACAGAAAATACACTAATATAGTGTGAATGAAAGAATGATACCGAAATCAATAAACAAAAATCAAGTTTTGTAAAAAAAAAATGTGTTTTAGAATATATGGAATTAAAATACGAATAACAAAAACACAGAAAAGGATTAATACATAATTAAAATAAAAAGGGGTTAAAACAATAAGAGAGGTATGCGATACATATATATAATGTCAAAGAGGGGCAGTGGGGTTAAAATACACCAGTGTCTATAGAATAGACTGGTTTCTTTCAAATAGTTAAATAATGGCTTCGAGTCCACGGAACTGGAAAGAGTTTTCATATCCGGGACTCGAAAGTAATTATCACGAATGTGTTTAAAATCGGAACATTCCATTTAACAATGTTTCATACAAACATATACGACATGTACTAAAACAACAATAGTTATACAATTCCAAATGTCAGGCGGCAGAGGTAACCGGGGCACAGTATAAAGTATCACTCTTTACAGATATCAAATACATATACAGCATTTGATAAAGCGCCCTATCTAGCTAACATAAGCCAGTCTAGGGAGCTTAACAGTACATAGATATACAACTAATACAATTAGCATATATATACATTAATCAATATAATTTTGAGGAATTCGCAGGAGCTGCCATTTCATGCGATAACTACTAGTCCTATGCTGCATTGCTAATGTCTCCAAATGTGTGTATGCCTGTGTGTGTGCTGGATATGTAATGTGTTCTGTTTGTAGTTAGACCGTGCTTCCAACGGCATCATTTATAGTGCCACCTCATTTGAATGCTACAGCAGAGATACCGCAACATCCACCCCAGACCAATTTATACTCCACCTTGGTTGTTGGAGTTGTGTGGGCAGGAGAAAAACACTTTCTCTGAATATCCATGCGTACGACAAATTCGGGGATCGAACCCCGGCCGCCTGCGTGGAAGGCCGGAGCGTTAACCACTCGACCAAACCGCCGATAAAAAGACAGATGTATAAGAGTATGCTGATTATGGGGCCGTGTTGTGTCCTTGTCACAGCCCCTTTGCATTTTGAGAGCGTGACATTGTTTGGTTTTGGCATAGATATTAAAACTAGGTGTTGTCGATAGAGCAGTCGACTCTAACCTTCCGGAAGACCTGAGCTGGTATGCATAAAACTACTTTGTTCAGATTTGTTCCGAATGGATAGATTTATCTTTATATCCTATGATAAAGAAATGTTCCATGGGATGGATTGCTTATCTTCTGTAGGTTTATGTATACATACGGGCCATTTGTTGAGCGTTCGCCGCTGTGAGGACGGCTTTGGGTTCTGTCCCCTGGCCAAGACATACCAAAGTCTTTAAAAATGGTAGTTTATACTCCTGCTTAACGCTCAGCAAATTAGGAGTGAGACGACTGGTTCGCCCGTTGTCAGTATAATGTGACCGGATGGGGCGTCCTGCTGGGTGTCTTCGGCAGTATGTTTCAGTGAGGTAGCACTATACAGTCGGCATTAGTTACGCGCTATCTCAAGTAGACAAACACGAACATATCGAAACCTCACAAAATACACACACATACACTTCACGCATGCATCTTTTACACAGGGGAGACCGTCATTAAATGACCTTAGCTGTTAATAGGACGTTAAACAAAATAAAACAAAACAAAACCAAACACTGGCCTTATCATTATTTTACTAAATGGAATATCTCAATATAATGTTTTGTATGTATATTACGCCCTAGATTTATCGATGTGAAATTCGAATTTCTGTTTCGTTTCGATTCCGTTTTCCCCTCTGTTCTTTGACCCGTTAGTTGGTTATAAAGACAAGATGATCTAGTTACTTTGACGATGCGATCTTATGAATTTTCCTTTGAATGATACTCATATATAACCACTATATATCTATACACATATAGGAGGCACGGTAGTCTAGTGGTAGACGCTGGGCTCGTGGCTGAAGGGTGGCGGGTTCGAGTCACGTCACGGCACTATGTTGTATATTTGAGCAAGATACTGTACTCCGCTTGATCCAGTCTATTCAGCTGTAAGTGAGTACGTGACTTGGCAGTGCTAAAGTGCCGAAATGGCAGCACCGGCTGTATGCTGCCCAGGGAGTTGAGAAAGATATTGGCTGGTTACAAAGGCCCTATAATCACGGAAAATAATTTGTGAACCGCTTTAAGACGACCTACGAACTAGGTTGTGATAAAGTGGTATATAAGAACCTCGAAGTTTTATTATTATTTAATAACATAATTTACCATGCAAAAGAATTAAACCAGGAACCAAAAGGAAATGCTAATGGTATTCATGATGGAACCAGGAAATAGAATTAAGGAAAACATTGGCGCTGTTGGCAAGTAAGCGATTCTTCTGTTGCAATTGGCACGCATGATTTGACAAGTCTTATATAGGGAACTGTGCATGTCACCAACTTACCGTACCAAACGTTTATCAAACTGTACACTGCAACACCATCACGAATCATTTCATCTACGAATTTGAGTTTTGATTTAAAACGTAGCTCTTGTAAAAGAAGCGTTGAAATCCTATATCTACACAGTGATTGTTGAGCGTTTTCCCAAGTGAAGACGGCACCGGGCTATGCCCCTAGGCCGGGACACACCTTAAACATGGTAGCTGTTATTTCCTGATTAAGGGAAATGACAACAATTGTTTAACCCGTTGTCAGTGAAATGTGACCGGGTGGGAAACTTTGCTGGATGGCTTTGGCTTAGTTACACAGTGAGTAAGCACTAGAAGGCAAACACACCAACATACCCTGCCTCTGGAACACGTACACACGTGCACGCATATTATGGAGGCACTTCCGTAAATGACCACAACTGTTAATAGGACGTTAAACCATATAAAAACAAACCAAACACCGGTAAACGTGATTAGCAATTATTCACACGGCTTACCTAGCTCTTCATAAACGAGTTGATCTTCAAACAAGAAATGTGAGGATAAAAGTACACACGCTCTCTATATCACCGTAGTTAACAGGTTCAAAGTACATGCACGTGTGATAGATCCATCTGAGTCAATAAACAGTTTGACGCTCAACAGAACGTTCACACTGAAAAAAGTCAATGTCAAAATCACGCTTGATAGTTTTGCTGACAGATGAATTAATGCTAGTTCTTCAGACATGTTTATCAACCGTGAAATAGCTGGACACAACGTGTATTAACCTTAACGTTAATAGTTGATATTGTTATTTGTTTTTCATATAGGCAAGCTTCACCGGCGGTAACGTCGTTAACTACTTAACTATTAATCCCAAAGACAAATATTTATAAGACGTAGATGTCTTAAGGATACTTCTATATAAATTTCAGATGGTATTTTTTAAAATTATTTTAAATCTTACCAAGAAAAATATTTGTAAATCCTTAATGGCAATTCGGATATTAGGCTAACCGATTGTGAAAATATTTATCTAAGGTTATATCATAAATATATAATTAGATCTTCACTAAAATTCCCTGCACAGAACGTTATCTCAAACTTAGTTTTAATTAATACATGTGGCATCTCAATCTTAGGTAGCATCTTATTCAATGAAGTGTAACTGTTACTCATGAACGTGAACTTACGTGTCGAAAAAAAGGGACATGAAATGGTACATTTAGAGTTATTGAGAGACATTTAATAATACTCAGAACATTTAACAGAATGTGTTACATATCTTATGTGTTTTATATCTTTACCTCAAAATGCACTTTTTATTTTGAATATAATCATATATTGCTGAGAAATTGGGCCTTTTGGTCGCAGATAGGAGGGAAGTTCTGTGCAGGGTTAATCATTAAAACTTCTAAATAATCGCGTGTTTTTTTAACTACACAATTAAATACAACAATAATAAAACGCTTTATTCAATTTGCAGGGTTCGCTATCCAGAGGTTATGGCCCAATGCACGGTGGTAGACGGAGTTTCGTGAGACAACCGTACAACAGCAAGAAATCGTACGGTCGGCAAATGATGCCCAGGAGGAGAATCATCCCGTTAAAATTCGGTAAAACGTGTGGAAAATACGAAGTTCTAGTGTGCAAGAAGTACACAAAGAACCGCTGCTTCAAGATATGCGGTTACAAGGGCTGTCAGGTTGGATGCACGTGCAGCTGTCGACGGAAACCAAGGAAAATTGTTAGGCCACAAATACTTCCGAGGAAACAGAAACTCATGCCAAAGCGTATAATTGCACCCCCAAAACACGTCTCTGAACATATCAATATATTACCAAACAAACTGTCCATTCCTATGTGTGGGAAAAAATCGTTTTTGAGATGCAGTGCCATGAAAATGTCTCACCTGTCAAATCATGATTGCTCCAACGCATGTATGATCAAGACAATATGCCAACAGGGATGTATATGTAGATGCATGTCGAATAACCTGATTGGCCAAGGCATTGGCGTGGTTGGAAGTGGAATGTCCGGACTAGGAGGGATAGGTCCTGGCTTTGTTAGTGGCGGATTGAACGGAGGACCTATTGACGCGGCTTTGGGTCCAAGATTCGATGTTGGACGTGCGCGTTTAGATCATCACTTGGGTCGACCTGTTGGTATAGGCGGAATGGGAGGCGGCGGACTCAAGGAGGAGAATGTAGAAGTCAAAATTGACGTGATAAGTGAGGGAAACCAGGATGGCGGAATTGGTGGAATCGGTTCAGGGGTCGGTATATCAACAGGAGGGCTAGGCGTGGATCCTACTTTAGGTGTAGGAATAGGCGGAGGTGATCTAGGATTCGGCCACCATAATTCAGGATTACCTATTGGCATACTGGGAATGGGGGAAAGCTTCGGAGGTGGAGCGGACCTGTCTTTCCTTGGACCAGAGGGAACAGATTTAGGATTTGGTCAGGGATTGGGTACTAACTTGGGTGCTGGAATAGATGCCGGCAGCCAAGGGCTGGGAGGCATCGTTCAGGATTTGGGACTCCAAGATCTAGGCGGATTAAACACTTTTGGCTTAGGTGGTAATGTTGGGGTCGGAATTGACGGAGGAGAAGGATTAGGAAACGATTTTGGAATGGCTGGATTGGGTCTGGATTTTGGTTTTGGTACAGGAAATGCAGGTGGTGGTATAGATAGTAATCTCGGAATAGGTCTCGGTGGACATGGAATGGATCTAGGACACAGTAATGTGGGCGTAGGAGTAAACGATCTTGGTGGAGTTAATAACGGTGTTGGTGTAGGTACTGGTATAAACGGATTAGATGGCCCTGGTCTGGGTCTTGGGTCCGACCTCGGAATTGGTGTCGGAGGGCCTGGTTTTGATTTTGGATCCAATCCTGGAGTCGGCGTCGGAGGGGCTGGTTTTGATTTTGGATCCAACCCCGGAGTCGGCGTCGGAGGCTTTGGTTTTGATTTTGGATCCAATCCTGGAGTCGGCGGCGGAGGGTCTGGTTTTGATTTTGGATGCAATCCTGGAGTCGGCGGCGGAGGGTCTGGTTTTGATTTCGGAACCAATCCTGGAGTCGGCGTCGGCGGGTCTGGTTTTGATTTTGGATGCAATCCTGGAGTCGGCGTCGGAGGGTCTGGTATTGATATTGGATCCAATCCTGGAGTCGGCGTCGGAGGGTCTGGTATTGATCTTGGATCCAATCCCGGAGTCGGCGTCGGAGGCTCTGGTTTTGATTTTGGATCCAATCCTGGAGTCGGCGTCGGAGGGTCTGGTTTTGATATTGGATCCAATCCTGGAGTCGGAGTGTCTGATCACGGTATCGGAACTAATCATGGTGTTGGAATTCAGTCCGGTCATGGGTCAAAAACTGGTCTTGGACATAATGCCGGTGTAGGAATCGACCAGGGACATGGTCCCGATCTAGGTCTTGGACACAATGCCGGTGTAGGAATTGACCAGGGACATGGTCTCGATCTAGGTCTTGGACACAATGCCGGAGTTGGAGTTGCCGTGGGACATGGAGCCGATTCAGGTTTTGGACGCAATCCCGGGGTCGGAATTGACCATGGACATGGATCCGATCATCGTCGTGGACACAATAGCGGCGTCGGAGTTGATCAAGGACACGGAAAAGCTGGTTTCGGCAGTGGTTCAGGGGTAGCAATAGCTAAAGATCAGTCACAAGGCGGAGGATTAGATTTGAGTGGCATTGCTCCAGGTTTAAATCTTAATCTAAATGGATTAGGTATTACTTCTGATGCTAACAATCACAATCAAGGCGGACCAGCAGATCCTTTAATGTTTCAGGATCCAACTCTCCCCCCGGGTGGTTCCAATGCTATTGCGGTCGCTGATACAGGAATGAATAGTTTCGGATTGTTTCCTGACATGGGTTCTCCGGGTTTGGGACTAGATTTGAATCCTAGTTTAGACTTCGGGCAGCAGGCTCGCAACGATCCGCTCAATTTTCCTTTGTAGAATCATGTAATTTTTTTAGAGTTATCGCCCTTCATGCGAAATTGTCATATGTGGAATTCAAAATGCTTCCGTCTCAGATGTATTATATATATCAAACAATACATTTTGATTTGCAATGCGATCCTCTCTGAGAAAAATATTATCTACTAGTTTGAACAGGTTAATGGTTTGTGTATTGGGAAAAAAATATATTTATTTTTTACCTGTGCTCGCTCTTTCTATCTATATTTCGTAGAAGTATGAACATTAAATTGACCAACTGACAAATAGGCGTTTTCCAGTGTGATACCACAATGATCTATTTTTGATATCCTCATAATACAATTGTACACAAAGGGTCAAAAGGTTAGATGTTCTTAGGATCTCACTTTGGCCGGTCAATTTATGACGGAACTACTTTGATCAGACGCCCCTCACTGACATGCAATGACTGATAAAGCGAACAATACTACATTGGGACATAAGATATGATACATATGGACGCGATAACGATGTAGTATTCAGGAGGCCTCTCGACTGGCCGTAGTCGCTGGTTGTTCGCTCATGTCACGCAGTCATAGACAGATTATCGGAAAATAATATATATGTCTTTATATCGCTGCTTATACAGACGTATAATAGATAAACAAATTTATATTTTTATATATACATTCAGAAACATATATGTTACATTTCAGAATGAAACAAATGACAAAATTGACCTTTGCCTAATAACTGATGTCAAGTTTTAAAAGTACACTTGAAAATATTAAGATTATTTTCAATGAATTCATAATAACAATAATTAGTAGTATTTAATTTTTAGGTGGGTGATATATTTACATACATTACAATTAAGAAAATGCGGTTATCGCTTACTCCAAACTAAAAAGACTTTCCCACCAAAACACTATAAACAACAAACCTCTATATTATATTGGCATAATTAACACCAGAAGAGACGAAACAGTTAAAGATTATCATATTTCAGATTTGAGTTTGTTTCTTTTTTCAAGGTTTCATAGAATAGCAATTTGTATTTCATTTTAGATATTGTTTCCATAAAATAATGTTATATAAATACATTTTGTTCACTTGTGCTACGTCGAAAGTCCCCATCGTTCATGATTCAGATTTTTATACATTACTAGTAGTGTTCATATTTTATGGAAAATAGCTGTTAATTTTAGTTTTTAGTTATAATGAAAGATAAGTTTCATTTAACAGATAAGAATTGGATACGTATACAAAAAGATCATGCTAAATCAATCCGTTTTGAATGAATAAAAATATTTCGTCGGTTATGCAGTCCTTTGATTATGCCATTATTTCAATGAATTGTATGCTATGTATAAAAACATGAACGACGCTTTAAAATAAAAATAAAAATATAAAATATCCTTTTTGTTATATTGTTTGTTGCCTTTTATTCTAAATATACGAGTACTGACTAATAGTAGTGTACAACATTACCGTTCATTTGTTGTTTAATGGTTTGGTACATGTATTCAATATGACGTTAGTGACTTTAAAAGGAATTGTAGAGGACAACCTTACCGTCCATGTGTTGTTTATTGGATTGGTTCATGTATTCAATATGGCGTTAGTCATTTTAAAATGAAATGTAGAGGACAACATTACCGTTCATTTGTTGTTTATTGGATTGGTACATGTATTCAATATGACGTTAGTGACTTTAAAATGAATTGTAGAGGACAACCTTACCGTCCATTTGTTGTTTATTGGTTTGGTTTTTTTAATATGACGTTAGTGACTTTAACATGAAATGTAGAGGACAACATTACCGTCCATGTGTTGTTTATTGGTTTGGTACATGTATTCAATATGACGTTAGTGACTTTAAAATGAAATGTAGAGGACAATATTACCGTTAATTTGTTATTTGTTGGTTTTGTATTTAATATGACGTTAGTGACTTTAAAATGAATTGTAGAGGACAACCTTACCGTCCATGTGTTGTTTATTGGATTGGTTCATGTATTCAATATGGCGTTAGTCATTTTAAAATGAAATTTAGAGGACAACACTACCGTTCATTTGTTGTTTATTGGATTGGTACATGTATTCAATATGACGTTAGTGACTTTAAAATGAAATGTAGAGGACAACCTTACCGTCCATTTGTTGTTTAATGGTTTGGTACATGTATTCAATATGACGTTAGTGACTTTAAAATGAAATGTAGAGGACAACCTTACCGTTCATTTGTTGTTTATTTGTTTGGTACATGTATTCAATATGACGTTAGTGACTTTAACATGAATTGTAGAGGACAACCTTACCGTCCATTTGCTGTTTATTGGTTTGGTATTTAATATGACGTTAGTCACTTTAAAATGAAATGTAGAGGACAATATTACCGTTAATTTGTTGTTTGTTGGTTTGGTATTTAATGTGACGTTAGTGACTTTAAAATGAATTGTAGGGGACAACATTACCGTCCATTTGTTGTTTATTGGTTTGGTATTTAATATGACGTTAGTCACTTTAAAATGAAATGTAGAGGACAATATTACCGTTAATTTGTTGTTTGTTGGTTTGGTATTTAATATGACGTTAGTGACTTTAAAATGAAATGTAGAGGACAACCTTACCATTCATTTGTTGTTTATTGGTTTGGTACATGTATTCAATATGACGTTAGTCACTTTAAAATGAAATGTAGAGGACAACCTTACCGTCCATTTGTTGTTTATTGGTTTGGTACATGTATTCAATATGACGTTAGTGACTTTAAAAGGAATTGTAGTGGACAACATTACCGTCCATTTGTTGTTTATTGGTTTGGTACATGTATTTAATATGACGTTAGTCACTTTAAAAGGAATTGTAGAGGACAACATTACCGTCCATTTGTTGTTTATTGGTTTGGTACATGTATTCAATATGAAATTAGTGTGCCTTTATTCTTTGTTTACACGACACTTGATTTGTAAAACAATATCGACACGCATAGAACAATAGTCTCATAAACAAACCTCCCTACGGCTGTCGCCTATATCTCACTACCAAATAACGAGCACGCTTCTGATCGTCTGCTTCATAGAACAATAGTCCCACAAACAAACCTCCCTACGGCTGTTGCCTATATCTCACTTCCCACAAACAAACCTCCCTACGGCTGTCGTCTATATCTCACTACCAAATAACGAGCACGCTTCTGATCGTCTGCTTCATAGAACAATAGTCCCACAAACAAACCTCCCTACGGCTGTCGCCTATATCTCACTACCAAATAACGAGCACGCTTCTGATCGTCTGCTTCATTGAACAATAGTCTTACAAACAAACCTTCTAACGGCTGTCGCCTATATTTCACTACCAAATAACGCATATTGGAGAATATATTTGAAAGGAACTGTGTTGCATACCCTCATACATGTTAAAAAGATGCATTTCAAACCTTATATCTACATTCTATTACATCCATTTTTATTATTTAAAATTAAGAAAAAAAATGTAATTTTTCACGTTAAAAAGCAAAACATCGTCATGAAAACAACATTAAATGAACAGCCTTTTTCGCGGGAAAGATGATGCGTTGTCAACGGTGACGAATTACACAGTTGAGCAATAAACAAATAGTTCCACTTTGCATATTTTTAAATAATTTAATTTACATTACCAGCATGTTTAACAAGCATTGATTATCTAAAAAATTGACAGTAGATCTAAATTTAAAACAAAAATACCATGTAAAATATTTCAGTTGCAAAAAGTCAGAAATGTACTCCGTGTTCGCGGAGAAATCTGATCGTTTAAAAAAACGGTTGTGTAGCGGCTACGCTCATCAGGCAACAAAGCGGTTCGTCTTTTAACGAGATAGAACATGCATCCGTGAAATGTGGAGTTTCCTTAGAAACCAGAAGACGTTTTAAAAGATGCTTTTGGCTGAATTCCTGTATCGATCGACTGTGTCAACACAACTAGCTCATCGTTTGAGCATTATATATTCGGCATGTATTACTATCGATGAGGGGAAGAGCCGGAACATTTCACCTGCTTCGCCAGTTGCATCGGACGCTAGTGTAGTTTCTAGAGGACAGTGAATTATTCTGTTCTGTTGGAAAGGACCTGTTATAGGTTTAAAGCAGACACGCTTCGGTGGCCCGACATAAACATGATGTGCCTTCAAAACCACAGTCATTCCATATTCTAGGGACAGGTCCGCGACGTCGCTGCCGGACATATTGGCTGGAACACAAGGGTTCGTTACAAATGTCTGTGGCTGGACTAAGAACACGACGCATTTCAGACGTTGAATATGCGGACTTAAATTTCAGGGTGATTTCTTGTTGACAATATACAAAAAAAGGATTATTAAAATATATTTACATATATTTAACCGTTGATAAACGATCTTGTTTTGTTTTGGTGTGTTTATGTGTGTTCGGGGTCAAATGTCATGTAACAGTACATGTGTTACTGTTAATATTACTACACACTTGCTTTTATTTTATCATGCAAACAGTTTTAGTTGGTACTGTTATCTAGTGGCGCTGCAACACAAATGTGAATATTTTATAGTATTTGTAGCAAAGAAAAAAAATTATAATCGAATTACGTATGAAAATGTTATGTTACCAGGCTTGATATACATAAATAATTTCATCTGTTTATGACGCCAATTATATCAATAAAGGTACTTACACTCTTAAACAGCGTTTCTGATTAACTTCAAAGGGTCAAGCATAAACTACCACACTACCAACAAACAAAACGTTATCGTATTGAGTTACGAAACTTCACTTCCTTAAATTCATATACTGTAATCGAATAAGCGCTTTTTCCGTTTTAGCTATTGCACTAAATTGATCAAGGTGACCACTGAATATCATGCATGTTTTTCCCTTCCTATCGCATATTTTGTAGGTGCCATCAATGCCCGAAATCTGTTAAACCTGTTAAATCGCGATAATATGTTAACATTTTAGTCCGCTAAACTAAGTAATTTTACAGTTTTGCAACAGTTTAAATCAGGTTATTTCCAATTACAGTTTATTAACCCGAGAGTATTGTCCTCTTATGTTGTCATATTTACCTCAAGCATATGAGAGTATGGGCATCTTGTTACTCACAAAACGTCAGACAAATATGACAACTTATCAGGATTCGTTATGTTAGTCATATAAGTCAGGGCTCGTCAGAAAGCAACATCATATCAATTGGCCGGTCACCATGTCAGAAATAGGCAACACATTATTCATCCCCGTGACTTATTTCACAGATATGTTGTTTATTACATTTGGGATTAACACATTTCAAAGACACGTTATTCATTTTCATACGATTGGGAAGTCCCATATTAAGATGTCTGTCCTTCCAATCACACGATCCAAGCATGCATCATGTTCAAGCCAGGAACATTCATTGTCTCAAGAGAGGAGCATCAGCTCTTTTGTCACATGACTTTGCGATGTTATACTGTTATCATCCTTTAACATGTTATCAATTATATAATATTATTTATATTATTAGGTCTTAATATTAATTATGATATTAAAATAAAATATACGAGTAAGTTTTGTCAGAAAAAAACAATAAGACAATATCGAAATGTCAACAAAACCGCAATTCGAACTCAAAATCGTTAACACTAAGGCAAAATATTATCAAAGGAAATATTTTAATGGAGCCCATTGAAAACGTACAAGGACAATATTGTCAGGTGTTCCGGAAGGGTAAGCGCCTTCTGCTTCATCGACGACTACCGCCATATACATTTAAGTCGAATCCAAGCAATGTCACGTCCTCATATAGAGAACTCGGGTAGTGACGACGAAAACACAAGGCATTGTTATGAGCATTTTTATAAAAACAGCCAGCTTTATATCACACAAAGATATGAATAAAGTACGAACTGAAGTATAGAAGTAGCTTCGACTACCATTTATTCTAGAATGAATATGTCCTGATTAACACTTATATACAAAATAATGCTTGTCATGTGAAATTTATATTGACCGCTATCAAACCAGTTTTCGGGAAATGGCATACGTTCTCTAAAAAAAAAATAAGAAAAAATCATAGAACGTTTTCGTTTCAGTCGAAACAACTTAATTCGGAAGATAACATTTAAACAATAAATAAATGATACACAAGTCGTCTCAGTAAAATGTTATATCTGAATTATTCTGTTTAGCGAGTCTTAAAGATGACAATTCATAAGACTACTTGTCAATATCATAATTTTTATCAAATACAGGTGTACATACATTTACATTGTTCTTCTCTTCTTGATACATACGTGAAGCTTTGTTTATATTGACATTAACATTTAATGTTTTCCTCTGTGTGACATTTTTGTACTTTAATTTACCTCTATCCCTTAATATTTCTTGCGCGCCCCAAGTGAGATTATATAGATTTAGAAAAACCATCAAAAAGTCTTATTATTAATCGAGCGAGACAGGTCTACCTATATCGTTGACTCAGCTAAATATAACAGGTGCTTATCATATCAGGCTGTTATTACTACAGACGACATTACAATACATCATTGTCTCACTGACCACCCAGACAGCACATTCGCCCCGGGGGCGATCCACTGACCATGTCAACTGGGTTCACAGGTTAACCATCATTGGTCGTCGTTTAAAATAACAAGATCACATTAATAGGTGTACTTTTACAATTTCTATATTAGCAAATCATTTCATGGTTTAAGATTACTGACCGAAAGAACAAAAACACCAAACAGATATTGAAAAAATGAATATTGTATGAACAAATTAGAGATAAGTATAAAATAGTATCAGCTGCACCATACGTCGAACTCATTATCGATACAACTAGGACATAGAAATAAAAAAATCCCTGTGAGATCATTATGAAAACCATAAGACTTGTCAATAATCCTGATCAACCTGCATCTTAAGAAAATATTAACAAAGAAATAGTCTATTTTAATAATTTATTTTGTGTATGCAGAATGTGGCACAAAGCAAAATAAGATCTAAATTAAAGTTCAAGAAAAATCGTCTGTGATTCATGAATTCAACTGTAGCAGAAAATGAAACATTAAGGTTAAAGTGGATAAACTAACGTTGTTTATTGTTTTGTTTGAATTTGAAAATAAAGAGCAAGTCATAAAATAGAAATAGTTGAAGCCACTGTTTTCTTCTTCTGACATTATGGTGGTATCATTTATGGAAAGGGGCATTAAAAACAGAAATTGCAGCATGCTGCTGCACACCAGACCTTTTGGTGAAAATCACTGACAGTCCATCAACCACGATGAACAGATCCTGTACAATTATAACACATTGTCATTTGCCGAACAATTTGTGCGCGTTTATACTTTCAGTATACAATTGTTTAACCCGAGATCCTATTGAGGAAACTGAATGAACACTAATGAATCAGTTAATTATTTATTAGGATTAACGAATATACACTGAATTTAGCATTTACAATTCAGTCGACTTATTACCTTATATTCTAGGTGACAGAGCTTTTAAATTTATAGCTGACTAATACTAATTGTATCAATTAAATCAACATGTTACAACAGTATTGTTAGGTTTTGATAATGAGTACGTAGTGTTTATTAAACGGAATTCTGAACTAATATTAGTGATAGGAATTGCTAGTTTTTGATTTCTAATAAATCACTTAATTGCAGTTGAATCCATCTTAAAAAGGATAAATATTTCTGAAAAAATCTTTATATTTCAATATTTCAATCTTTCTTAATGACGGCTTATTATAATACGGAAACATTGGTTCCGAAACCTGACAAAGACTCTTATAAGCAGCATTATCCCAGTGAATGGAAGATCAACCAAGCTCTTCAAATACCATTATGTCAGGATCACGGTTTTATTGTAGCACTTTCTAAGGTATCCTAACATTTGGCTTTTCTGCTACAACTACAACTTCAACTGCTTTTTTCTCTTATCATAACACCTTTCTTTTTCTGGCAAGTAGAAGTTAAAGACAATATGGCTGTGACTTTTTAAAGCATATTAAGCAATAAATATTAAAAATTTGATGGAAGTTTAATTCAAATATTCATATTTTTGATAAAAAAAAACTAATAAAAATTAATAAAGTAAAGGTTTAAGATGGTCATGATATTTGATATTGCTGTGAATATGATTTCGGGAGGCACGGTAGTCTAGTGCTGGGACGCCGGGCTCGTAACCAAAGAGTTGCGAGATCGAGTCGCTGCACGGCACGAGTCTTTGAACAAGATACTTTGCTCTGCTTGTTTCAGTCTACTCAGCTGTAAACGAGCACGGGGTTTGGCAGTGCTAGAAATGTAGAATGTTAACTGTGAGCGCCGAAATGGCAGCACCGGCTGTATGCTCCCAAGGGAGTTGAAAAAGTTATTGGCTACTATAACCACTGAACCGCTTTGAGACGACCTACGAACTAGATGGTGATAAAGCGGTATATAAGAACCTCGACTTATTATTATTATTTTTATTAAATTCCCCTGTGACAGTAATTTTCTTGATACTTTCCAGTAGACAGTATGCATTCCCTTAAGGAAAGAGTGTCAATTCGCCGGCCGATTTGGTTTAAATGAGGCTGCATTGTATGAAGGGCTTATCAAGGCCGATACAGGGGCCGTACCGAGACTTTGATTAAAAGGTTAATAGCTTGATTACTGTTTAAAGACGACATTTGAGTCTCTAAATATTTGAAACATAAACAAGGAAAAAAATCGTAAGATTGCGTTTAGTTTACTGTACTGACAAATTTGCTATCTACATAGTTTTAACTCAGTTTACCGGTAGATTATGCTTACCAACCTCCAGAAAACCTTTAGAAATATCGTTCTATTTAAAAAATACACAACATTAAACTTATCTCTGATTAAGCAAATCAGCTTCTGAAGAACTGAACAAGATCAAATATTGTTTTCAAATAACAAGAAATATTGCCATCACCATTATACTCATCTTAATCTGGATCAAAAACAAATTTTAGACTGTTTTTTTCATTGGCTGCTTTCCTCTGTTTTTACTGACAGTATGGTTAATATGGAACGTATTCTTACTAAGCCGTATGATGACTATTTCGATTTCCCTTTCGTGAACCTTCCTTTTCTTAAACGTAACATTACTGTGCCCCAAACCTGCATCCGCGTGTATGTACGGGGTTAAAATGTCGCAATAGATTTAATATTAACAGGTTTGATCCGAACATCAGAGTTCTCGTGATGTATGTTGAATACTGATGGACAAATACAGAAATCAGGTTATCCAGAGATGACCGTTGACGAAGACTATAGGCAGACTTTAGGGTCGCCATTATGATTTCAACTGGATAACTCCTGGTTACTTGTGCGATACGAAGATCAATGTTGTGTGCCGTGATGTTTTTTGTATCAATCGAAGAGAACATGACATTACGTGTATCTTTGAACAGGTATCCACATAGATAAATAAAACTGTTGGATTTTCTCTAGTTTCAACAATTTTGAGTTCGTATCAAGATTCTGTTTACACTTCGGTTCCTCTTATTATATTGTCATTGTCAGCAATATTAATTTACTAACTCATATGCAAATAATATGCATCTCAGTCTCACCCAATAACCTTTGACCCGTGATGACTTGTTCAACACGAATCACATGTTGACTGACATCACCTCTGGTTTTATCCGGAAGTCTTACAATGTCATTGAATGATTTATGATGTCTTGTGCCAAACGCGTGTTATATTGTTTAGCAGATGTGTCAGAGGCAACGCTAGTAAACAGTCCGTGTTTATTATGCAGGCCTGTATGTGTATATCCCCGTGTTTGCTCTAAGCTTACACCTGACTGAACGGTCATACATATATGTTATAATAGCTTTGTCAGTTACATGTATTACGTATATAGTTTATGAGAATTGTAAACACGCTTTGAATTGTTAAAAATGCTTTTATCAATATTCATTAAAAAAAACACACCATTTAATAGGTTTCGATGAATAGATTCCTGGTTCGAAACTATCATGTTTGCCTAATCGCTGTTGCAGAAATGATTTTGAGAAAATGAATAGGTAGAAAATCAAGTCAGAAAAATGACGAACATATTAAAGCTGTTTATTGCTAGCTATGAGAAGGGTTTCGATGAATCAGAAAATGCTTACCATTCCAGAACAATTGGTCTTTGAATGTTGTCAACAGTTTCCATATAAATCTTTCCTTTGTTCATGTATTGATGTAGTTTTGTCAATTTTAAGTTCAAATAATCGTTTTGTTGACAATTCGGTATACCCCTGATGTTTGGATGACAATTCATTATACCCCTGACGTTTTGTTGACAATTCGGTATACCCCTAATGTTTTGTTGACAATTCGGTATACCCCTGACGTTTTGTTGACAATTCGGTTTACCCCTGATGTTTTGTTGACAATTCGGTATACCCCTGATGTTAAGTTGACAATTCGGTATACCCCTGATGTTTTGTTGACAATTCGGTATACCCCTGACGTTTTGTTAACAATTCGGTTAACCCTGATGGTTTGTGAACAATTCGGTATCAGTAGATCTAAATTTAAAACATTCGGTATACCCCTGATTTTTTATTGACAACTCGGTATACCCCTGACGTTTTGTTGACAATTCGGTATACCCCTGATTTTTTATTGACAACTCGGTATACCCCTGACGTTTTGTTGACAACTCGGTATACCCCTGACGTTTTGTTGACAATTCGGTATACCCCTGATTTTTTATTGACAACTCGGTATACCCCTGACGTTTTGTTGACAACTCGGTATCCCCCTGACGTTTTGTTGACAATTCGGTATACCCCTGATGTTTTGTTGTCAATTCGGTATACCCCTGATGTTTTGTTGACAACTCGGTATACCCCTGACGCTTTGTTGACAATTCGGTATACCCCTGATGTTTTGTTGACAATTCGGTAAACCCCTGATATTTTGTTGACAATTCGGTTTACCCCTGATGTTTTGTTGACAATTCGGTATACCCCTGATATTTTGTTGACAATTAGGTATACCCCTGATATTTTGTTGACAATTCGGTATACCCCTCACGGTTTGTTGACAATTCGGTATACCCCTGATGTCTTATGTTTGCTTGCAATACAACTGTTTTGATGTTTCTTTCGTAACAAATATTGTCTCTTCCCACCTGAATTTACAATTATGATTCTTACCTGGTATGTTGGCACGGATTACGTTTTACTATGTGACTGGGTGACCTTCTCAGTCATCATATATGCGATAAACACGATTGAATGCTTAACAAATAAATGAAAACAATGGATCTGTGAAGGTATGTTTTATTATCAAATTTCAATTAAAATTCATTTGACTCGTAAACAAGCTCTCATATGAATATTTGCAAGACATTGCACAGATTTCATTTTCAAAATCACATGGATTTGAAGCGAGCTTTAGATTTTATTTAATCAATACCCAAACAAATATCATATTTACAATCACAACACATTTGTAAATATTTACAAGCAAGTACTAAGAAATCATCAATTATTTTGCCTTTAAAAGGAAATTACTGACATCATCATTTACACCTTGTTGACGTCATACTATGTGTTTTCGTTCATGTACACTGTATGTATATTACGTTACAAAAAGTACTATTCTATTGAATGTCATAATAAATATATGATAAAGGTAAATAAATTATGAAAAAAAATGTTTTTTTATAGCTGTTTGACAAAACAATAATCTTTTTCTAACGTTTAAAACGTAACTACTTTTTTTATGACTGAAATCATCGATGGCATAACACAAAGGACGACAACCCACATATTTGTCTAATACTACCAAATAAATAATGCAAGGTCTAATTTTAGAGCTATTATATAACTTTGTTTCCACGTAATCGAGGTAAACATCGTTTCGAAAAATTTCACCATCTACATGTAAGGCGGAAAATTTAAAACAATGCCATAGCCAACTTATATGACGCCACGTAAATATCATGGTATCAAGCTAGTAAAAAAATGTTACAACAAGAAAACGCTTGTCCATTGAGTCACACATTAATGTAGTAAACATATTATTCGATGTCGTCCATTGATATAAATACATGTAACGCTTGCGTGACAGTACACTTTGGTGTAGTCAATGGAAATAAATAGTTCGTGCTCCTTTATCCTCTTTGTGTAGCAATCTGTGATGCTATTGTAAAGCTACGTGTACGAATGAACGATTTGTCTCCCTTTATATACAATTTACCTTGCAAAGAAAGTTTTCTGTTGTCATGAATAGAACTCATTTCAATTTTGTTATGAACTTATTCGCATTGAGTTTTCTCCATCTTTTACATTTGTTACTGATGAAATATCAGAAAATATCCATTTGATAAAAATAAATCTTCACTACAGTGAAGTTGACAGAAATGTTGTTTCTTAAAATTTGTTGATTTTTATTTTCAAGATCAGATGAAGCGACGGCAGAATAAGTGGTTGTTTTGATACTCCTTGGCAATAATTGAGACATTTACATTAATTCACAATTTACGTTATTTTTTATATATATAATCGAATAATAGCAGAAAATGACAAAATGGCGTTAATTAACCCATTTAAAATGACATGTTGCCTTGTTGTCAAGCGTTACATCGTTCTACCTTGGCATGTACATTGCGATAAAATTATTCCGACTTTTCTGATGCAGCATCTTACTGTTAAAATGTGATAAATAGAAAAGGCAATTGTGTCCCTTGAAAAAAAGATATATATTTCATTAGTATAGAAAAGTGTACCTATATTTTTAAAACGTGCTCCACAATCATGCAAAACATCAATATTCTGTCATACTTTTGAAATACATACGTATTGTAGAATGCATTCGACATATTTAGTCATTTGGACAGTAATCTCGTTTGCATTTTTTATATTCACAGTTCACAAAATAGTTTTTACAACAGTTGCTTACGTCATGTATGCACAGTCTGATAAAAAAACACGCGAAATAAAATCAGTTATGTCATTTGCACGTTGAGGTCTCCTTCCTCACGAAATCTACGGTAAAATAAAGCTTGTTCTACCAAACAGGATTTGTAGATAAATCGTATCACTAAGGGTGAACAACAATGCTACACAAATAATACTACAGAGTAATAATGTTTTTGTTTTCACCTTAACAACGTTAATACTGATTACGATACAAACAAGCACGTACATAACGTAGATTTCACAAAGACGTTATACCCCACAGTTAACCTCTCGCCCACAATCTGTTATCGCGATGGTTCCTCAAATCAGTGTTGGGATCTGAAAGGAAAAAAATAATCAAAATATACTAGCTTAAACGTCAATATCCTGATACTGATAAAATGTCACAAAAATAATCAATGCATTAAATTTTCCTAATTTTAATGCTTCTATTGTGCAATTTATTACTATCCATAACCGTATACATTGGCGGTAAATACCAGCTAATCAGTTCTGAGTATTTCAATGCCATAAGGAGTTGGAATTAAATGAGCATAGCTGTTAGTACAGAAGCGAAATGTTTACCATAAGCAGTCTCCGGAAAAATCCTCTGAAATCACAATACACTCAAACTTTTCCCATTATGTGTAACGTTCAATTTACTAACGTATCTACTTATTTACGTAAAAACCGCAGTGCAGAATGAAGGAAATCAGAACTCAGTGTAAAGACGAAGATAGGGACCGAGGAGACATAAAACGAATAGAAATACAATAGGAGCAAAGGCGATCTCAAAACAAATACAATCGGGGACCGCAGAAACACAAACAAAGAGAAAGTCTGGTAATGAGGGGAGAAATACAACATCTGGGCCCACTTGTATAAAACATCTCAAAGTTAAGGAAAAGCTCAAGCAATTTCTACGGGAAATCTGAGACTTGAGGAAATCTCAAGAGTTGAGATGTTTCATACAAGTGGGACCAGGAATTTAGGACACAACAAAACAAACACATAGTGAATACCACAAATATCGGAGGCGAAACCAATCACTGTTTATGAGGCTAACTGTGTGGACTTTAAAGCAACATTAGGCTTATACTACAGGCTAGGCAGTTTTATTAGACTTTCACTCGGACTATTAAGACACCAAAAGCTTAAACTTCGGAGAAGAATACGTTTATTAGGCTTAAGTTACGGACTATTAAACACGATATGGATGGGACTAGAACACTGCGTAAGGCCAACCACGATATGGTTGGGACTAGAACACTGCAGGCCAACCACGATATGGTTGGGACTAGAAAAATCCTTTTGGCATTTCTTTCAAACTATAAATGATTTGTAAGTCTCCAGTCTAAAATATACTCCAGCCTAGAAGGATCAATAAGATTATACCCCGGATAAGAAAGCTTGATTGCAATTATTGTTTTGACTAGAGAGCTTCAACAGTCCTAACTTCAGATTTGAATTTTTCATGATGTATCTATTCGGAATAGAATGTTTAATTAAGTTTTGTCGATTTAACGTCCATAATAAAAAGCTACATAAGACATAAGACTCCGCACTAGAAGCCTCAGCAGTTGTATTAAGCTGCATTAGGCTTATTCGCCGAATTGAATGAAATATTTTCGTTAGGAATCATACTTAGAGTAGCTAGCCATGCTGACTTAACTTTTCGAAAGATTTTGAAAATTATAATTTAGTATCATGTGTACAAATTCGAAATGTTATTTTTTTATAAAATGAGTTTTGATAACGCGAATCATTTTGAAAACAATGTATATATGTGTGTTTTGGGAATTTCTAGCTAACAAGTCATTGTACCACGCGGTCCAGTTGTACCACACAGCTGACAAGCGTGGTGTCATTAGCGGGCTGTGTTAATGACACATTATTAGACAAGGTCTGTTGTTTCCATTATTTATAGAAGAGTTAATTAAAACATTACATATGTTTTACAGAGATAAACTGGATCCGTCCAGTTTAATCGGAGTAGCTGAATGTGTGTGTGACAAGGGACTATTAATGTCAATTATAGTCATGCCTGGGCCACTCTAACTGGTGCTTACTGTATATATTATAACCTGATTTATATACTATTCACCGAAATTAATTAATGGACACTGATGTTGTATAAATCATTGATAATGATATCACATGATTTGTATTATTCCCGAGAGCACATACCTGTTTCTTTATCTGATGCTGTTTATCATTAATGTAATTGATATATTATACCTATAGTGTTATAATGAAACATACGGTAATGTATGCGTCGTTTCGTCAAAGAACGTTGTCTTAAAAACAGTTTTTAATGTGTCTCTCTATTTTATTAGGAATGAGCTAGTCATGAGGACAAATCTTCTTCTTTTTCATCCAATTTTTGTTATCAATGATTATCGCATTACTAATTAGTTAAGGTCTGATTAACCAGTCGTAACTAAGCTTGACGATGCTTTACTGTAAAAAAACTTTTCTTGTTAATCTAATAGTATGTCGTCTCCCTGTAAATTTTGTATCTAAGAATATGCTTAATTGAAATGAATAATACATCCCCAGCTGATATAGAAATACATAAATATATGTTTTTTACAAAACAGATTGCGTGTAAACATGAACTCTTCAATCAATATTGACATGTAATAATGAAATCGTAGCATAATGACATACCCCACAAAACCCAGCCGGTTCACATTTGTACCGGATGCATAAACTTCCTATCTTATAATGACAATGGAAATAAACTCCCCCCTCATAACATTCCGAAACAATTAAAAAGAACTATCAATTTAATTTGGAATTTGTCATTATTATTACATTTTAATGTCCATAACTATTTAAATTAAGTTTTTGAAATTCAGGACAACTATTATTTTACACACACAATATGACGTAAGTAATTGCTAGCCGTCGCGAGTTGAATACCTTGTACATATATGTGATGGTTGTAAGAATTATATTCCTGTTTAATTATCATTACAAAACCTTAGGTATGATATCAGTAAAACCAAGGTGCCACAAGAGAAAGCATGCTAGTCTAATAGAAGGGCTTTCTATTGAGTTTGCTAGTCCTAATTATCATTCATGATAGAATTAACAAGTCAGTTAGTATGGAATGGATGGGTATTGGAGATGTTTGTATAATTTGTGTGAATAGATGAGGACATTTTTTTTAGAATAATTGCTAGAAATACGAAAACAGCGCATATTTATTTACTTACAGTGTTGATGCAAAAAGGCAGGCAAAACTACATTCTACCCCACCACGTGACCATTTCGTCTATCGCGGTCTTATCAGTGGTTCTTTAGGTTAAAAGGATAAAATACGTAGGTAGGAATAAAGTGTTAAAATAAAAAATACCTACTAATTAACATTAAATATCTTCCTTGCTAAGAATAGATAAATATCCACTACTACACAGATGATAAAACACTTGCCAAATCCCTATTACCAAAGATAGCGTTCCTTTGTTATATGATGAACGTAAGACACAGACTTTGTCTGTTAAATTTTGAAATAAACACAATAAACTGAAAGATAATTACAACTCTTTAGTCTATGTACGACTCATCGGTGATGCTAAATGTTAAAAAGATGGAAATTGGTCTCGACTACTGTTGAAGAACAAGATAATGGGCTTAACTTCTCTAATTGCGTGAATTAAAATAATACATGAGTACTGGCTTATTTCTTAGAATAAATTCAGCGTGTATATAACAAACCGTGTTCTACTCTTATAAAGGTCTCTGTGACTATCAAGGTTATGTTAAACATAGGGGACTAAGAAATCCACAGTTTACCACCTGGTATCGTAAAGGATGAACGTTAAAGACACCCTTGATTTTAGGTATATAATATATCTCATATGAACCATTCCCTAACACTGATCTACATCGATTGTTACGTCATTGGTTTGTGAAATATCAAAAGTATGACGGATTATCAAGTTTTTGTATTTTAAAATTACAAAATAATAACAGATAGATATGGGTGTAACGATTTGTGGACGTTCCTGTAAAATCAGCAAGCAAACACTGAAATAAAACAAGCATGACGAAGGTATGTGTTTGTTAATAGTTCTTCGTGTAGATGTTAGGCAGAACCTCTGGGGCTTGACCTGTCATATGTACGTAATCTTGTTAGCTGATGCAACTAAAGGATTTGTGTGTTTAACGAGAAAAAGAAAATGACACATTCCACCAGTATGATAAAAACTATAACTAGGTAGCAATGCACTGTAAGTGATTACTTATCTTATTTCTGTAACAACTGACAGTGTTAAACACCGTCCTGATGTACTTATTAATTGTTAACTGTTGGGCTATAACATAAAATGTTCATCATGTACTAGTATTACTAAACTATGGACAAAAATATGGAAATACCACAGTTAGACTAATCTTCAGTTAAAAGAGTTGGAGAAGGGCGTACACATCCTTGACAATATCATTTTCAAAAACATACTTAGCATTGTTAAGACTAACAAGTGAAATAAACATTGACTGGTTTAAATGGGACAAAAGTTGATTTTGACTTATTGTTTTGTTAACCTTTATTTCATTTGCAATTGTTAATTTTAAGGGAAACCTGCAATTGAATCACAAAATATTGTGCACAAGAATTAGTAAAAAGTCATGTATATTTCAAATGCATTTTATTCTTTTAATGAAACTGACAAAATGCATCAAACAAGTCAGGAGACAGATGATAAAACATGATTATGAACATCACATAAACAACAACATATAATAAAAAGGTTTAGCAATTTAGTTGAACCTTTTTCGTTCATAGTTATTGTCAGTTCCAAAACGATCGTATACGGGTGATCTATCTCATATGCTGCATATAACTGTGAAGTACAACGTACTGAATATCTATATTTCATATCTTGTAAACAGCTTTGTACGGAATAGCTTTAGCACAACGTAAAGCAAGGTGGTTTTTTTTGTGAATTTCTAACTTGAAATTTTGAGATAATAACTTTCGACTTCCTAACGCGATATTCCAAGATATTTTGTCATGTTTTCACTTAGTATAACAAGAATAACACATTCATTAAATAGCATAAAAAGGTATTACACATATACTTTTACTATCACATACCTGATTTTGCTTCATGTAGCTTAATTTTCTTATTTTTCAGGAGTGGTAGCGGCCATTTCTATCATTGGCAGATCTAAGGGTGGCGTAAGTTATTGTTTGAACAATTTACTTTGGGTCAGAAATGTTAACTGAAAATCGATATTTTATCAGCCTCAGAAAAAAATAACCTTAATAATTAGAAGAAGTTTTCAAAAACATTCATATCTATCAAAACACCATTATCTGTTTCTCTTTCAACTCGGTTTATTGTTTTCAAGTTTTCCAAATCTTTGTAGAAGGTTGGGATGTAAGCGTTTCTGTTCCTCCTTGTTTTTTGTTTTTTATTGTTTTATTTCTTATTGTTAATTTCTAAAATACTAAATATAAAATTATCAATATAACATATATAGGTATATAGCTTTGAATTTCTCACAGCATTAAGGAAAACATAATTTGCTTTGTGCTATAATTATGGTATAGTTTTGCTAAGCATATATCATTACATGATAGCTTACTTAAACACGCTCTCACAATCTAATAATAAAACAATCCAACAGGTTTTTATCTGGTTCTATTATTTGTTACTTTCAATAATGGCTGTCGTTTTGACATCGCGGATGTATTGAAACGTTAAGACAACAAAAATAACACTGGCATGAGAGAGGTGATACACTATATATTTAATGTTGGGGATTGGCGAGACGATAAACTAAAAAAAATAGAATATGCTAAAATCCTGCTTGCATTGTAACAACATCAATTACCTGACAATACCACCATGGCAACTAAAACATTTCCGATAACAACTCCAATAATAAGATCTGTTTGAGTAAATGGGGTGAAATCGTGCAGGATATTGAGGTTATAAATACATCCTAATGTGGAAATCAAAGCGTGCCTATATATAACATTTTTAATATTATTCAATTATAGCCTTTGGCTGAGGTCGATACCTGAATTTATCAACCCGAGAAAAGATATATAGACAGAGGACGCAGTCCGAGGTCAATATATCTTTTCTCGGGTCGATAAATCCAGGTATCGCCCGAAGTCAAAGGCTACAATTGTTTTATTATTTTCAAAAGAGTAATGTTTTCAATCTGAAAAAAAATCACAGCAAAAATCTACGGAAGCGGGACGATGCGTTAGTTTGGAGATACGTCATAATTCTATTTTTTGAAAACACCCAGACTTTCAACAAAATCACGCGCACCAAGTCAATATCAGTTTTATCGGTGGACACGTGATGCACTCCTGTCCAATCACTTGTCAGGAATAATATGAAAAAATAATAACACTTTATATTACATCAGAGGCACGAACTTACACGAATCTTTTTTTTAATTAAAAATCAGGCTATGGACTTTACAGTTATTTACATTGAAAAACGAAACACCAAAAAGGGCTGTAAAAACTATAAATAGTAACATATTTGTTTTTATTTATTTTAGTAAGATTTTAACCTAGAAATAACGAGGAAAATCTAAACAAATGTTGAAGAAATTCACGTTATTGAAGTAGATACAAATACAAAATTATTCCACTACATCTGTGTTTACATTAGGATTAGATATCATATATTGTTCTTTGTCACTATTCTAATGTGTAACACTCTTTCTGATTGGATATTTTACCGGTGTCTATAGAAATATACACCCGCTCTACCGAGGTCTATAAAAGCACGTGCGAAGGGAGATAACTCACACTAGAATCTCTCAGCATAACAACAAACATGGCGTCCGACACACTCAAGCGTTCGAGGTTTGTCAATAATTCACATGATTAAATAGCCTTCAAGCAATCTAAAACAACAGCAAAATCAACGAAACAGGCAATGAGTGGCCGCTAGGGTGCTTATGACAAGGATAATTGTGTTATGTCCGAAATATTGCCGAAAAGGTGTCCGGTAGGGGCTATTTTTGTAGCAGTCAGGTACAACTAAAACTCATACAATTTTGCAGATAAAAAAGATTGTCAGGGTTTACTGGCTCATAGACCCCATTGGTCTGTAAAGACCAGACGGGGTGTATGAGCCGGTAGATCCCTCCTAACCCAGATATAGCTAATAATAACAAGAAGGATTATTTAAAATATATCACATTGAACGACTGTTATAAACACGGGAAGCATATTAAATGGTAAACAATGTTCGGAAGTTAACTACTATTTTACTCTTCTCTTAAGACCACTAAAACATTGGTCTTAACAGATTGAATAACACACAGATTATTATCAGCCTGAAAGGCAAAGAAAGGGCCTGATGTATGTAGTCATGAACTATATTATAATGACTCTCAAAGCTTGTTTTATATCTTAACAACAAAAGTCTAAAACAGAAAAATACATCTAAATGAATATAAAAAAGAGTTATTTTGAAACAACTATTACATGGTTTGTATTTGATACAATAACTTGTTATTGAAAATTGATATATACACTGAACATACAATACTTTTTGTACAATTAGCACGTCACGATTGATAAAACCTCGATAAATAAAGAATTGTACGTCACTGTTAAATATGTACCGCACGTCACTTTAACCTTTACTTATTAACGTTTGCTACACACAAACACACGAACTATTTACAACATAGATCCGATATGGCACATACATAGATAACAAAACCATTAGCTGAGTATCATTTGTAACATCTAAAGTCGTTTCATGTTTATATACATTTAGCACATTTGGATAAAATGCATATAATTTTTCATTGCTTAGTTGAAATATCTATATACAAAACAAGCATATGTATAGCCCATGATTTTCGTTTCACAGATGGTTATTTTTTCTCAGCAAGGTAAATTCCACCACAGGTGATATTTAAGAAGGTCTTGACACTCATAGTTCTGATGAAGCTTGCTGCTCTATTCATCGTTTTACCTAAAATAAAGGTCCATGACTCGTAAAAGCTGGTTTGAAACGTCCAAAACCGTTTGCCTTGAACATTATATTGAGAATTCAGCTTATTAACGGTCATTAATTGATATCTCGAACACCTGCTGATTGGATTATTGCAATATTGTTATCACACATACCCATTAATCTGCCGGTTCAGCATCTTCGCCGCCTTGAAATGCACTTCTTCTGCTAAACCTTCTGCCACGACGTCTCCGAAACCCTCGGTCCCCCCACTGTGACAGTGGGTCAACTGTTGTTCTGTCTCCTCCCCATCCGCCCCTTTCTGGGGGACCCAAGTCACGCCGTGGACCTTGGTCCCTACGCCAATTATCCTGCCATGCGCGTGGCGGTGGTGTTGTATCCAAGTGTCGAGGAGGTGGACCATCTCTTCTGATGAATTCTCTGGGACCCCACTGATCTCCTCCCCCACGACCATCTCCACCACGACCATCTCCACCACGACCATCTCCATCACGACCAACACCACCTCCTTCACCCCATCTTTGTTCTGGAGGTGGTTCTGTCATGCGTGGAGGACTATCCTTCCATGGATCCTGCCATTCACGACGTTCAACTGGTCTGGACCTGCGACCCCACGGGTCTTTATGTTCTTTAGGTTGGTCTCCCCGGTCGTGCCACATTGGAGCGTGGTCACGTCTATGAAATGCTGGCTGATCTCGTCTTTCCCAACCGCTCTGTTGCTCATGACGAGCAGATGGAGGAGAAGTTGGATATCTACGTTGAGTTGGAGGAGGAGACGTTGGATATCTTCTTTGAAAAGATGGATGAGAATTCGGATATCTGAGTTGAGAATACGGAACAGAAGTTGGATGCCTGCGTTGAGTAGGTGGGTGCCGCACAGTAGTTGACGTAGTCGTAGTAGGTATATCCTCCGCCTCTATCAGCTCACCCTCTGCGTCCAAAAGGGGGCTCTTCGTTGTAGAGGGTTTCATGCTTCGTAGTTTTGTTTCAATCAATTTTTCTATTGATGCTAATAAACCTGAGATACTAGGAACAGTTGTGGTAGTCGGCTTGGTTGTTGTTGAAACCGTTGTTCGATCAGATACAAATTGTTCGTACGAGATATATGAACTTGTCGGAGCAAATGTACTGGTATAAGGCCTGGATGTAAATCTTGATGCGGCAGTAGGGCTGGCAGCCGTCCCGAACTCAAGTGTGGCTAGAAGGGATTGAAGAGCTAACTCTATGCTTCCTGTATCTGTCGATTTTCCGGTCAACGCAGATGATATGGCCGACCCAAGCGCTTCTTCTTGCGAATTTGCTGGTGTAAGAACACAAGTAGCATTACAAGAACACACCGATTCTATACATGCTCCTCTGAAGCACATGCCGATACACCAATGTACAATGGAAGGCATTGAATAGAACATGTCCCTGCCCTCACAATGATACTTCTTCGTTTGACCTCTTCCGCATTGACCAGCAGCTGATTCGGCACTTGCTGGAGTTGTTATTTTCACAGTTGTTGTTGTTGGCGCAGAAGTAGATGTCGTTGTTGTAATAGGTACTGTTGTTGTTGTGGGTCTTTCTGTTGTGACTGTCGGCTGATGAGGCATTATAGCTTTAATACTGTCTCGCATCTCTTTTTTAAACAGCTGCATCAATAACGATTTGACGCTAACGCTTGAAGCAGTTGTCGGTGGATCAGTGGTAGTAGTACTAAGCATAGTTGTCCTACTCGGCATTACCTGAATAATATTTTTAGAAGGCAAATTTGATGGATGGAATTTTGTAAACAATGGCAGCATGCTCCGAAGTCTCGTTCGACTTGTAGTTTGTGGTTTATTAGTAACAACTGTAGGAGACTGCTGGAGTGCCCGATTTGTATTAGTTTCTGCGAATTTTATTGAACTCGACAACGATTCCATCCTTTTTCTTTTAAAATTTGCCTTTTTATGTACATTTTGCTGCAATGGCAACTGCAACTGACTTTGTTTGTGTAGACTTGTTGGTCGTACTGCAGAGCCGTGCGTCGGTCCTACAGTACGTGTCTGCAAACTAAACGGGAGACTATGTCTAGTTGATTGCATTGACAATTGCTGAGTATTAAGGCGTTGTTGCGGCAATCCTGTATAATTTGGATGTTGTTCTGTTGATTGAGTACTATGTAGGTCCAATGATTCTAAGAAAGTTTGAAGAAACTGCTTAATTTGTTTGACAGGAGGAAGTGTTGTGGTAATAAAAGCTGTGTTGGTATATTTTGAACTTTGCGAGTTCCTTGACGATTTGTCTTGTGACGGGTTGGTACCGACTTGTTGTTGTTGATGGTGTTTCTGCTGTATCTGCTGCTGTTGCTGAAGGTTCGGTATACCCACTCTAGATGGCTGAACATTTTGATGTTGGTTTCGAGACGTAGTTGTCTGATGCTGTGTCTGATGTTGCCTAATAATGCGCGTTCGGCTGTGAGTGTCGACAGGAAACCTGAACTCTCGTAGAACTGGTTTCTGGTCATTTCGCTGTGGCTTAGACCGTCGTTTCCAAAGTTGTTGTTCTTGTATCCTCTGTTGCTGCTGATGTTGTTGGCTATTTTGTCCTGTATTGTTTGAAATTATGTGCTGATTATTGGATCGAAATGATTGTTGTTCCCTTTTTTTAAGCTGCGATTGCGATACATCCTCTGGATGGTTCCTGCGTTTGTTTACCTGTGTTAGTACACCATCACGAGAGCGATCTTGGTGGCCATTAACGTTTGGCTGATTGGTTTTCCGAGACGGTACACCCCTAGATAAAGAGGGACTCAATAACAGACGGGGTTTTAACGATGACTGATAAGTTCTTATAATATCTCTGTCAGACTTTATTTCCTTTTTACTGAGAGTTTGAATGACGCTGGCTACGGGTTGTACGGGTTTATACATTGCAGAACTTGCTGGGTTAGGTAAAGATATGTACGAAATCCGCCTCGTATCCTGTTGGTGGAAAATAGGCGATTTTGAAAATGATGTTTTAGTGAGAGGATCAGTCATTCGCACTAATTGTACCTCGGACTTGCTGTTCATTTGACTATTATACACGCCTTGTTCGTTAGTGTCGTGCCCTGAGGTTCTGTTTGTGGTAAAATCAGGGGATAACTGGTGAATTGTCGAAGATAATGGCACTGCCTCCTTCACTGTTGTCACAAGTGGTGTCCTTCTTTCTTCAGTTGATGTGATAACTTGTGGAGTTGTTTTCGGATTAATCATCTTACTGTTTATTGATGTTAATGCCTGCGGGGAGTTTTTCGTTGTTGTTGCTTTAGTTGTACTAAGAAGAATTGTCTCAACCGGAACTGCTATAAGCGGAGGAGTCGTCACTTCTAACGTTGTTTGCGGAGATGTTACAACTTGTTTGGTCACTTGCTGAGTCGTTACAACTTGACTTGTGGTTGTTGTTGTTGTAGTTAGTTTCGGAGTTGTAACAACTTTGGTCGTTGTTTGTGGATTTGTTACAACTGGTGTAGTTGTTTGCGGAGTTGAGAAAACTGTTGTTGATTTTGGAGTTTTCGTTGTGGTTACTGTGATTGTCTGCGGAGTCGTCACAACTTGGGTCGTTGTTTGCGGGGTTGTTACAACTTTGATCGTTGGTTGCGGATTTTTAACAATTTTTGTCGTTGTTTGCGGTGTTGTTGTAGATTGGGTCGTTGTTTGTGGGGTTGTTATAATTTCTGTCGTTGTTTGCGGTGTTGTTATAATTTCTGTCGTTGTTTGCGGTGTTGTTGTAATTTCTGTAGTTGTTTGCGGTGTTGTTGTAGATTGGGTCGTTGTTTGTGGGGTTGTTATAATTTCTGTAGTTGTTTGCGGTGTTGTTATAATTTCTGTCGTTGTTTGCGGTGTTGTCATAGGGGTTATTTCAGTTGTTGATTGCCAAGTTGTTACAATTGGTGTTGTTAGCGGCGATGTCTGCAATGGCGTTTGTGTAAACTCTGGATGGCTTACATTACTGATTCTGGTTTCAACTTGAGTTATATCTTTATTCCCCTTCTTTGACTTTGTGATAATATATCCATTCCGAATATCAGTAGTTGCTGTCGTAGTTGAATCCTTTAGCAGTTCATCTAAATGTACATCAGGACGAATGGTCCGAAGAATGTCCAATGTTAATTGCTTAAAATCTATAGACGATGAGGTTATTTTATTAGATAGTTGGTCGTTAGTTTTCTGTAATACCGTTGTTTCCTTCATTGTTGTGTACGGAACTTCTGTTCTCTGTTTTACAGAATGTGTAGCAGGAGTAGATGCCGTTTGCCGTTCTTTGATTGTTGTCGTTTTGGTAAATATTGCAGGTTTTTCAGAATATATTATTATACCGTTTGGTAATGACTTTTCTACAGTTTGATGAAATGCTTTTACACTGACTTTATTTATGGTTTTAGCTTTTAAGTTATCTTTGTTGGAGATTGTCTTCGTTGTTTTCGCTGTTATTTGTGGCACTTGTAAAGCTGAAGACACTTTTGGCTTCTTTTTGGAATTCAACTCTAACTTCCTGTCTCTTGTGTTTAAATTACGAGATTTCCAAGTTGTTACAATTGGTGTTGTTAGCGGCGATGTCTGCAATGGCGTTTGTATAAACTGTGGATGGCTTACATTACTGATTCTGGTTTCAACATGCGTTATATCATTATTGCCCTTCTTTGACTTTGTGATAATATGTCCATTCTGAATAGTAGTAGTTGCTGTCGTGGTTGAATCCTTTATCAGTTCATTTAAATGTACATCAGGACGAATGGTCCGAAGAATGTCCAATGTTAATTGCTTAAAATCTATAGGCGATGACGTCATTTTATTAGATAGTTGGTAGTTAGTTTTCGTTGTTTTCTCTTTTACTTGTAAAGCTGAAGACACCTTTGGCTTCTTTTTGGAATACAAATCTGACTTCCTGTCTCTTGTGTTTGTAATACGATCACTACCAGGGATATATATTTTGGGAGCTACTTTCTGAACGGAGTTTTCTTTAGAACGATTTGTTTGTTTTTGAAGCAGGCCTGTTGAGGGAGGTTGCTGGGCAGGTGCAGCATGGTAATTAGGTCCTTTAGGAAGCTGTCTCAAATTAATTTGTTTCCTGGTAGTTCCACGTCTTGGGGATTCCATGGGGACTACGTGTCGTCCGGTTGCATGCTGTTGGAAACTAATTCTTTGTGAGAACAATCTATTATCTACTGGCGGTAATACTGACCTCAATATCTTATCTCTTCTCGGACTTATTTTTGGGCCTGATTGTTCACCTCTTCCAAATATTTCAGGGTGACTCTGTGATGCCTGTCGTCCTCTCGTACCAAAAGTTTGTGTTGGTCGCCTATCTAACGTGACTGTTGGTCTTTCCCGCCGATGCTGGATACCTAAATGTGAATGAAGTTGAGTTTTCTTTGGCGATACTTCTTCTTTGATAGGGGTTATTTTTGAAGCTGGTATTTTCAATGTACGTTGAGGAAAAGTATATGAACTGGTCTTTGGGTGTGGCAGGATTGTTGGTCTTTCCCGCCGATGTTGGATACCTAAATGTGAATGAAGTTGAGTTTTCTTTGGCGATACTTCTTCTTTGATAGGGGTTATTTTTGAAGTTGGTATTTTCAATGTACGTTGAGGAAAAGTATATGAACCGGTCTTTGGGTGTGGCAGGTCTTTCTTTCTTTTCAATGCAACACGCGGAGCTGGTGTATTGCGGTCTTTCGCTATTTGCAAATGTCTACTTACATCAAATAAAGTTCTAGTTTTCTGCTGATATCTGGTTTTGGATTTAATTTCCATACGGTTCGCGAGCCCCTTAAAACCAGTATGTTGTGTCTTTTCGATCGGTTTTACTTTTTTCTTTTCCGGAACTGTAGGTTCCGAAACTGTAGGAGAAAATAAATGCATTAATATTGGTATTCCAGTCGCCTGGTTATGACCTCTATGACGTGTACTTAAAGGACGCCAAAAGCTTTTTGAGAATTCCGAATCGCTTGATTTCCGTATTCGCTTTAACAACTTTCCAGGCATATGAACTACATCATTATAGTTGGAAAACAAGTCAGTGTTATCAACTGAATACAGTTTTTCAGTTCCGTGGTCGTGCATATAACCTTCCTTGTATGGGTAGTATGTCGGGTCCTGTACCATTGACGGCTGTGGGTATGGTGTCGACTCATCAATCACAATCTTTACTGTCGTAGGTAAAAGTGTCACCGTTGATTTTGTGGTGGATTTTTCATAATGTTGTTGAATTGGTACTTTTGGATCCGCTTTTTCGTTCGTGTGCATCGTTCTGCTATTCATTAGTAGTGGACCCGATGGTTTCAAACCAGCAGTTGTCGGAAACGTGACGGTCACTGGAATCTCTAATGGTTTTATCGTTCGGAAATAATCAGGAAATGTAGGCTCACTGGACCCTGCTTTCTCCAAGGGGTATTGTGGAGAGATATTGTCACCAACTACCTTTTCGATCTTAATGGCGGAGTCTGCAATCAAAGGTATCGATGACAGAACATCTGATTTCGAGGAAGGAACATCTAAAGAGAAAGACAGCGCTGAGCGCATGGTTACTTCAGGAGTTGTCGGGCTAGGTTCAACATAGGTAAATGCAGATGTGTTAGTACGGATGGTTACCCCCTTTGCCTTAGGATAAATGCTTGTTAAATCAACGTTACTCACCCCCTGCTTGATCGCCTGTGTCTGTTCCAGCACGGAAGGACCTTCTTGTTGATACAGTGCGTCCTTTGGCTGTATTATCCTCGTTTGGTGGAGTTGGGTGTCTATGTGTGGAGGAAGATCTTGTGTCTGTCGTCGGAAAAGGTTTGCTCCAGAAAATGTATTGGCGTTTGTTGTATGTATCATCCTTGGGGAATTAGATGGCACCACATAATGGTTAAGAGTTATGTGTTTGGTGGCGATGTTTTGGCGAATGACCTGATCTGTTGCTAATGTGTTTTTAGTTTGAGTTGATGCTATGTCGGGCTGTGCTGGCACTTGGATTGGAGATGTACTAGCACTGTCCATTGTAATTTCAGATGGCGTCCTCACTACATTAGATAACACCTTAGATTCATGGCGATTATGTGGCATATCGTTCATACTTCCAAACACTTTATCGTTGGATTTTATTGGTTCTAAAGGTGCAGATATTATATGATTATGCGTGGAATGTATTTTGTTTGGAGCCTGTGACAAACTGAGAACCGGCGGTGGTACATGACGCGTAGCATCCTTACTCTCGGTATAATGTACTTGTGATTTTACAGACGGTGTGATCCCTGACCCGATCCCTGTTGTTCTCTGTCCTTGCCATGTCCTCCGGGACGCTTCGTGCGCCTGCTTCGTGTTCCCATCCCCTACGTGATTGCTCTGTTTACCCAGCAGTACATCACTCAAAGAATCTAGCAGTCCTTTATGTTTGGAAGCTGCTAGAGCTTGTATCAGTTTATTGACAATATCGGATCTGTCGGATTGTAGTTTAGGTTTTGTAGATTCCTGTGGCACATCTGTTGTTTTAGCTGGCTCTTTTGGTGGTATACGGCTATGCGGTGGAACTCTATGAAAGATTCTATTTTTATTCCTCGGCGGTGGTGGAACAAAGTTATCTGGTTTTACTTGTATTGTCTCTGCTTTATCTACTTGGTTAATGACATTATTTGTCCCCGACGAATGTAAATCCGTTGAAAGTACCTTCCATCCACCTTCTATCATTGCTTGACTGCTTGTGTCCTTGTGAATGTTATCAATACCACCTGTCAGTCGGTTGCCCTGCTCATTTAGATATATATCTGGTGTAAATCCTCCCAGTAGTTCTACGTTTTGAGGTAAATCCTTTGATTTCGGTGTTTCATAATTTGGTGAAACTGTCGTGATGTGGCCTATCATCAGCGAATCTAGTGGATGGCGATTTAAGGTTTCCTTATGTTTGCGTTTGCGAACATTATGTTGAACATATACATGATTTGAAGAATCAACTGGTATCTTGGCTGGCCTTTCTGAGTAGGATAGGAAACTCATTCCTCCGTGTAACGCCTCGTTTACTGTCGTCGGTTTTGTCTGCATATCTGTCACTTGACTACCTTCCTGTGTTATCCAGGAAGAATCTTTTGTAGGCTTGATGACTGACTTTGTGGTTATAACAGGCGCCTTAGTCACGACAGGCATCTGTCTGTTTTCTTTATTTTTAGGTTTCAAAACTAATTTCACATTCTTTGAAATCCCAGCCGACTGCAATGCGTTCTCTATGGATGTTTTTACTTTTTCTAATAATGTGTTTCCAGTTAAAGGTGTTGGAGAAGTTGTTTGCTCTTCATTGTTATCCGTTAATACAATTTCTACATCCTTTGCTATACCCGCTGACTTCAGTGCTCGTTCGATTGACGCTTTTATTTTCAATAACATGTTAGGATCAGTCGTTGGTGTAAAACCTTCCTTGGGGCGAGATGGACTTTCCAGCATCGCTGGTCCTTTGATAGTTTCGTATGTCCCTAAAATTTGGTATTTGTGTTCATGTTGTTTTCTAATCTGTGCATCTGATAGAGGCGGTTGCATCGGTCGTTGTCTTTGTTTCACTTCAGACAGAGCTTCAGAGTTAGATGGTAAGTATCTATGTCTGGTATTAAAATGCGCAGCATCCATTTCCTGCCATGAACTCTTTGTTGTAGGTCCTCTTGTTGGTGGGTATGCGCGTATATCTGGATCTCGAAGTGCATGATGACTTGGTTGTAGTTTCAGTGGAGTCCGATGACGTAACGGTTGAGCCACGGTGACCGTGGTGGTGGTTGGTACCGGAGTTGTCGGCACAGGCCTAGTCATTCCTTCCTGTTCCTCTTTCTTTTTGTTACTTTGTTCTGGTGGTTGTACAGGATCTGGAGGATCCGTGGTATCTCCATACATCATTTCTTGCATCATTTCAGGATTCATATACCCCATCATTCCACCATACATGCCGGCCATAGGATTTCCCATCTGGCTCATCATTGCTATTCGTTGTTGTTCCAAAGGGTCTATAACAGTATGCTGGTGCATCATGGGATGCCCATTGAAGTTTATCTGTTGTTGATTATGCGGTAATTGATTCACACGAACTGATTGTGTGGGATTACCTGTGTGAGCTTCATTAGACTGCATCATTGCTATGATATCGTTGAACAGTGTCGACTGAACCGTTGACCGAGGAACTTGAACTGGAAGGGCTGCGTTAACTTCCTGGGCTTGAATAAGTTGTAAGATCTGTTGCACAGGTATTGGAGTTGTTGTCTGGACCTGCATTACCGGGACATTATTCGGAGATCCAGCTATTTCCGAAAGTAGCTGTTTTATTAGCTTCATCTGCTCCTCGTGAGCTGTAGCTGATCCCGTTCTTACCGTTTCCTGTTCCCTGTGTTTTGCTATCATTTTCTGCAGTTCCACCTGTAACGTTGTGCGTTCTTTTGGAACGGACGTAGGGGACGGTTTACTGTTACTCAAGGTATGGTTGGGAGTATCTATGGTGCTTAATAGTGCCATCTTTGTGGGACTTGGAATTTGTGCAGAGGCTTGCTGGTCAGCAAGTGACTGTTGTGTACTCGGAATTTCACTGGTAGGCAAACTATTAGCCGTATTAGTTGAAGTCGTTGGCTTGTTAGAACTATCAGTTCCCTGGATGTTCTTTGCATGACTTGTTTCTAATTGTTTCTTTATTGAATGTTTTGTCGTTGTTATCATTGTAGTTTGTTTTGTCCCTGGAACAGATGACGGCGATGGCTTCACCTCCTTTGAATGTACGACTGTATTTGGTTCAGCAGGAGACGGTAGCGAGGTGTCTGTACGTGGCTTTTGTTCTGGCACTAGCAATAAAGGATTCCTTGGTTCTTCTTGCGGGATAACCTGTAGTGGACCCCCTGTGGGTGTCTGTTGTTCCACTGGCACTCTGACTGGCAATACAGGATTGGTCGGTTCCTCTTGCGGGATAGCTTGAAGCGGAAGTTCAGTATGTATATCTTTTTTCTCGTTAGCTATCGACATCGCGTGCGACTCTGTGTTGGATGGTACCTCGTGCGTTCGTGCTGACGCAGTGGATGTAGGCTTTTGTAACGTTTGGCTTGTCGTTTTTAGAGGTGAAACAGCCTTGCTAAAAGAAGTTGGTAATGTCACTGGGATATCGTTTGGAGATTTTGTAGTTTGTGATAGCTTTGGTTCTGCCACTTCTATGTGTATTATAGTAGTTTGGTTAGTTGTTAGTTTTGTCTTAGCGTTTCTTATAGACCCACCTACCTCAGCTTTGCTGGTGGCAGTTATTGTGTCTTGTCGCACAACAGGTTCCTGTGTGGCATTTGTTCCAGGAAAAATATATTCTGGTTGCTCAGGGTTAGACGGTCCAGTCGCCGTTAAGAATTCTCTGAAAGGAGTGTTCGGAGCTCTGTTCTTCAAATCTTTGTCAGTCAATAAAGACCCCTGTCCTCTGTCATTTGCTGTTGATGCGTGAGTTTCACCTTCATTTCCGACACGACCTGCAGAGTTTAATCTTGACTGAAGCGTTCTATCACTTGAAGACCTAACACCACCTCCATTACGAACTTGAGATGACGAATTTCTCCTTAAATCCAAACTCACTCTTCCGGTCTTGCGAGAAGACCTTTGATAATGCCGTAATCTTTCCTCGAACGAAGGCGAAAAACGAGAAGAAGAAACTGCTCTCCTACTGGAACTTTGCCGAGTTGTGCCAGTGGTCCGCTGACCGCTTTGACTGTTTCGCGCAAGTGGAACACTAAATCGACCCCCATCGACAGTCTCGGAACGAAAGGTAGATGGTATGGCCATCCTGCTACTTGATCTTGTGGGAGAGCGCAGACGACCGTTCACTAATAAACGTCGTGATACCTCATTTACGCGTCTATCAGGAACATCGTTTGACTCACGATTACTTGGTTCGTTTCGTGCTGAAGTGTTTGACCCAGATAGTGTCACAGTTTGTAGATTTGTGCCTTTTCGACTTTCAGAAAAACGAGAAGAAGACACTGCTCTCCTACTGGAACTTTGCCGAGTTGTGCCAGTGGTCCGCTGACCGCTTTGACTGTTTCGCTCAAGTGGAACACTGAATCGACCCCCATCGACAGTCTCGGAACGAAAAATAGATGGTGTGGCCATCCTGCTACTTGATCTTGTAAGAGAGCGCAGACGACCGTTCACTAATAAACGTCGTGCTACCTCATTTACGCGTCTATCAGAAACACCGGTTGACTCACGATTGCTTGGTTCGTTTCGTGCTGAAGTTGTTGCCTCAGATAGTGTCACAGTTTGTAGATTTGTAGCTTTTCCACTTTCAGACGTCAGCTCTTTGTCTATGGTTCGTATCCTTTGCTCTAACAAGTTTATTAAACGCATAACCTGCGCTGACGTCATTTCCTCATGTGTCGCTGACATGCGCCGTATTGCTGCCCTTCCATTCACCAGCTGTGGACTTCCGTTGTCCAGTAGGAACACCTTGACTATGTTCGTACTCAGACTGTCCGCTAACGATTCACGCATATCAATCATTCTCTGACGTTTCGCCATGGTGGTATCCATGGTAACTCTGGGACTGGTTTGTGTGCTTATCCGGCTTCTCTACAAATAAGAAATTAAATGAAGTCAGATTAAGAATTGATTATTTAAATCTGTATTGATCAATTTAATGAGTGTCAATGGTGATA